GTAGGAGGTGGGAAACGGGGCGCTGCAGTGGGAACCCGGCTGTGGCCTTGCCTTGCCAAGCCTTGCACAGTCAGGCTTTTTACTACATCTAAGAAAACATGACTGGAAAAAAATGTTCTCTGAGGCTCAGCCTGTTTTTAATGCGTTCAGTTTAATGCAAGCAGGACTATGACTCCTGCTGACTTAAAAACAGGCTTGTAAGTCTGAAGCTTTTGTCCCCAGCACCTTTTCCAGCAGGAGGAAAGCTTTATATTCTGTGAAAGTCACAGGACCCTGCTGGACATAATGGCAAACACCCACATTAGGATCCTTCAGAAATAATGCTGCTAGGACCACTAATAAATGAGAGCACAGGGGATGAAAAGGGGTAACTGTTCAGGAAGAAGGAATGGGAAAGGAGGTCAAAGAGGAATGAAACCAGAATTAGTGCTTTCACTGGCTTAAATTTCAAACAAATACATAATCTATACACATATAAAAATGTCTTTATAGATCAGAATGGAGAACACCAACTCTGCTGCCTGTCTGCTGCAGCACTAGTGCAGGTATCATCTACCATCCAACACCAGCAGATGTGGTCACCATTAATCATCTGGCAGAAATGAAGTAAAAGCAGGTCACCCTCACAGCCCACAGACACACAGGCAAGGTTTCCTGCCTTGAAAATAACCCCCTTGGCTTTGGTTCAGTTTCTTTAGGAACTCTGAGGTCTCCCATTCTGTTCCACTGACCTCTGCTGAGTGAAAACTCAAAGTGGAAATGTACATCAGAAAAGAAAATCAGTGGTCATGGGGAAAAAAAAAAATCACAGATATATTTCACTTTTTTTTATTTGCTATTAATTTTGATAGCACATCTCAATCACACTGGCTAATCAGATCTTACAAGATCTTTCCCCTGCACTGGGAAAGAAACAAAAAAATGGTCATGCATAAGATACTGAATGCTTTCATATCAAATATGTCATACTTTGGGGTTTTGAACATCATAAGAGAACATGAAAGCAGCTTATTTTGTTTAACATCCCTGTTACAGACCATAGCAGCTTAAAAGGTTTGACACAAGTTAACCTACTTCTAATGCTTTTATTTGAAAAAGTTTTGTAGGAAATTAAAAGAATAAAGAGGCCAAAACACTACAAAAGAATATTTTAAAGATAAAGCATTTCTTCTAAGTTCATAGATCTTAAAACCCACAATGATCTTTCTGTTTTGGCGAGGGATTCAATTTGGGCATTATTTAAATGAAGGTTGGGAAATTCAACTTATTTGTGATTTTTATGTCCCATGAAATATCTTTAAAGGGGTCTTGGTTTTCAGGAATGCTGAACACACATCCTTCAAGAGGTCCTAAGCTAGGGAGACAAAACCTCCATTTATTCCTGCAAATATTGGGCCAAATACTGGGGACTTGCTAATATTCCCACATCTATGAAAGTAGGATACAAAGGACTAGAAATTGTTATCTGAGCTTTTTTTTTTGCTTTTAAAGATTACATCTGAATGCTTTTGACGGCCATCAGGAACAAAATCTTCTTGCAATGGATAGCAAAAGTCTAACTGTAGGAGCAGAAAAAAAAAAGTCAATCTTCAAAAAGTAGTTAGCCATACTTGTTGATTTAATGGAAAGATAAGTAGACAAATTTATTGACTGTCTTCTGTTAGAAGATGCACAGGTGAAATACAGTTACAAATACTCGCCCTGATCCTACAATATGCAAAATGCTCTAAACTGCTCTGTGAGATAACTAAGGAACGAAGGTCCTGGGCACACCCGAGGAAACACCTCAGGAGACACAGACTGCACACAAGAACAAGCTGAGGTGTTGTAACAGGCATTGATCTTAATCTCCTGCAATCAGGCACCTGCTTTCTGTAACCATGCCTGCCGGCCCTGGCTGAGCTCTCGCCAGAGTTAGTGCTCAATTTCTTTGAGCTTGCAGCAGCTCAGCTGGAAACAGCCGTAACCACTCAACTTTGGGCACAGGGACTGCGTGCAAAGGAGAACAAAGCAAAGTAGGAGGAAAGTTGAGTTTGGACTAACACTTACTTCAAGGTTTATGCTGAGTTTAATCAAGCATCTTGTGCAGCTACATGCTAAAGGGTCTTTTTACAGCTGGAGCTCAGACCTCATTGTAGATGTTCCAGGATCCACCACGTATCTTTACAGCTATCGTGTATTTAAATCATATAGCTGCATGATAGAAGTAGTCGAGAGAGAGAGAGAGAGAAAGTAGTTCTTATGAAAGTAGTTAATTAGAGAACTAGTTAATACTGTAACATCACATCAAAGTTGTGCTGTGATCTTGAACGTCACGTCAAGCTGGTGATGACTGAGTAAACACATGTAATCCAGTTATAAACTTGCTACCACTTCTTGTGCCAAGACTTTAATGTGCTTCAGTGCATGAAGGAAATTCACAGCCGTGAATATACATTCCAGCTCTCTGCTTCATTTCAGTTAAAAACCAGCAGCAATTATATTACAGCTTCACAGCAGATTTTTATAACTTAGCTAGAAACAAATGCCGATCAAATCTTTGCAAACAGCTCTCAGGCAAATTTATTTATGACAGAATTTATAGGAATATTAACCACTTTCTTTCCAGTACTACAGCTACTACTATATTTTAATGATGGCAAGTGGATATAAAATAGATCTTTTCTGACATGGGTTTACTCTTTATGTGGGAAAGCCAGGAATAAGCCTGTGCTTACAACTGAGTGTTATATTCTTTGAGTCACGGTCTGAAGTCAAGTAAATGGAGCTGTCTCCATACAGTGGAAAGAATGCTGGAGCACACTCTTCTTCAAGATCATTGGTTGCTGTCTAAGTATAAATTGTATCTACTGAAGTTGTGTTTAAGGAGAAAAGGAGGGAAGAAGGTTTAAATCCAGAAAAAAAGTTTTAATTATTCTACAGCATTAATTAGAGATCTGGACCCAAACTTATTCACATTGTCACTTGGCTGCTCTGATTCCACTATGTCTTTGTAATGAAATTCTTCTAAATGGAAGAAGAATCTGAACCACTGATGAAAAAGCTTTGGCTTGTGACCTCTGTATGAACCTATGCCCAGAAGAGAGTTGCAGCCTGCATGACTGAGCTTACATCGAGGCCTCATCTCATTAATAGCTTTTCTTAACTTGTACAACCACATTAACAACCTGATGCTTCTAGTAAGTAATGATTCAGCAAAGCCATTCTGTTACTTCATTTAAATACAGTGAAAGTGGACTGGTGTGTAGAAATTTTAAACAAGAGAAGGCAGTTGGATCTACTAGTACTTTCTTTTTTTTTTCCCCTAGAAGAAATTTTCAGAATCCTGCCATCAGAAACCCTCTAATGAAATTACCTCTGTCATGATCTCCCACCAGCCAAGCTCATGTTATGGTATGGTCACAGGAGCCAGGACTCTATGAGCTAACTGCCCAGGAGCACCCATAGCCAAGCAGCACCACCCAGCACAGGACAGGCAGCCCAGTGATTAGGGAAGGATGGGAAGTCAAATGCTGTGGGAGCTGTTCTGTCATGCCAGCCACCATCAGGTCCACGTGTTTCACCAGCACCTGGGAGTTCAGCTTCACAGCTCCTTTGTGAGGTAGGTAATTACTGCAGAAAAAGAAAGTGAGGATTAAGGAGATTAAGTTTTTCTCCTGGGGTCCCACAGGAAGTCTGTGGTAAAGCTGAGGATGAATTTAAGCCCCTGGTTTACTCATGGGTCAGCCATTCTCTCCGCTGTGCGTAGAAACACTGGGTTTGTGACACAACCTTCATTTCTGCAAGCTGTAAGCATCCTGGACAATATATGTTTCCACAGGTGGTTTTACTTTCCTGTCCTGCTTGTCTGAATTATACAGACTGGCTCAAACTGCAGGGATTTGCTGCACAACAGCAAGGTATCTTGCCTAGCATTTTGGGTCAGTTTATAAGGTAAACAAAGTTTAGCTGCAAAGCTAAGATTTAAATCTTCCTTTTAGATTAGAGCCCACTTCTGTTTGCTTGCTTCCCTCCTTCCAGGAAGCATGAAATATAATAAAAACTACAAGCACAAAAGAAAAGTCGGTGAACAAAACCTTCTACTATTAATTACACCCATTAGTGCAAACCACACAGCAGATTATTTTTAGCAAGCTCAGTATTTTCTGTAAGGAGGTCATACAGCTGAGGCTTTAAACACAGATGAAGTCACATTCTTTAGCCAAATAAATAGTCAGCTTTAAAGTTCACCCACATAAGCAACCTGAATTTTACTGCTACACTTAATCTTTTGTCCTACATTTGTATGTATGCTATAATATGTTTTATTGAAAATATATTTAGTCCTGTGCTTTCATCAGATATAAATAACTAAAAGGCAGTAAAGGCCAGATTCCAAAGCTGAATTACATTTTTGGATGAGACTTGTCTACCATCACCTTAATTGCCTAGAAGAACTTTTTTTTTTTTTTAATAAAAATTTAAACAAGCCATTTGTCTATGTGCCTAAAAGCCAACACCTAAATCCATGTTTGACATTCAAATGCATGGCTCTGCTGTCAAAGGTGAGAGTGCTCACACTTGGTTTGACATCAAGCACTCACCACCACTGAAAACTATTTCCCATTTTTACATATTTAGGTGTGGATGCAGGTGTTTGGCTTTACTTCACATCATCTGAAAATTGTGGCCTTCCTACCTAATTAAGAGTCAAGACTTGGAAGTTGCAGCCATTAAGAATGCTACAGGAATGCTGCTCTCCCTGCTCAACATTTACATTTGGCAATAGCCAGCTGAAAGAAAGGCAAAAATAATCAAAGTTGGAAAAAGCGTTTCTCAAAACACTTTTCTGGGCAACTGCAATCGAGCTAGTGAATGCTGTGGTTAGTGGTCTGTAACCCCAGCAGGTGCAGCTGAACAGGAGAAGTCTGAATTTGGAAAAGTGCGCTTTTGCATCGTTGGCTTCAGCGAGGACAGACACCAGAGGTGCACACCCTGTGTCTTCCAGAGGGACTCTCTCTTCAGAGGTTTTCATCCAGCCATTTTATGTAGCTGTTCCTGGTCTGGAGGCCCGCAGCGAAATCGGTGGGCCAAATGGTGAATATCATGCAGCCATGAAAGCAGTCGTGGAAGTGGTCGAGCGTGACGTCCACGCCGGCGTGCTCCAGGCGCCGGGCGTACATCGCCCCGTCGTCCCGCAGGACGTCGTTCTCACAGGTCAGGATGTAAGTCTTTGGCTGCAGCTGCAGGGTGGCCTTTTCTGCAAGCAGCGGGACTGCTCGGACGTCAAGCAGCGCTGGTATCTCCTGGATGATTTCAGCCTTGCCTGTGGTTTGTATTACAGGCTTGTAGTTCTTTTTGAACGACGAGGGTAGTAGAGAGGTCCAGTTCAGGCGGCCTCTGAATGAGAGAGCTCGGCCAACATCAAGAGCGGTGTGGTTGTTAATCAGCAGGGAGTGAGCCAAGTCATAATTACCATTTAAATAATATATCCAATAGTTGATCATGACAGAACGACGAAGAATAGGCATATTCATGTTCTGCTGGTAAGAAGGTGTATTGAAATCGAATGCCTGAAGGACTGGATAAATTAAGGCCTGCAGTTTCGGTCTGACAGTCAAATTCTCTTCTTTGCTAAGCTGTGGGAAAAAAAAATCATAGAATTCAGATTATAATGAAAACAAACATTACAACGTCAGCCTAGAACTTTATACAGGCAACCGTGCACTTGACAGCAGCCTGATGTTAACTTCTCTTCTTGTTAAGGATGGCTGTTCAGGCAGACCCAGTATCCTGTCTCCCAACAGAAATTGGATGCAGAAATTTATTGAAGGGTGTAAGAAGGAAAAAAAGTGTAAAGTGGCACGACTCTAAGACAGTGTCCAGATTAACAGTTGGCAACTGAAGGACTTCTGAATTAAAGGAGCTATTCTTAATAGCTTTTCATGGATTTTTCTTCTATAAATTTATCTAATTGGGTTTTTTTTCCAGCATATGCTAATTGTTGACATCCACAGTTTTCTCTAGCAAAGGCTCACCATGTGCAGAAGCATCTCTCTCTGTTTGACTTGACCCTGCCATCTGCTTTTCAGTTGAGTCTATCGGTTATACATTTGGTGCCCACCAATTCCTTTACTGGAGGAATCAGCAAACACTTGTTTTGCTTCATCTTCTACACAAGATACACAGTTCTCTAGCATACCTCATCTTATTTGAAAAGAATGATGAATCGGGAAAATGAATTAGGAATGCTTTTTCCAAAAAATGATACTATCATGTTGATCAGTTCTGAATGCTAAAAGTTTTAGTGTAATTGTCTCTTATTAATTTTTTCACCCTAATTCAATATTGCAAGGTTGTCATGATAATTGGTTGTCTGGATATGGTATCTGCTTTCTTATCACCAATGGTTATGGCAATGTGAAAAAGCTAATACTAATATTTCACTCAACCATGAAAAATATTATTACTTGCCTCAGGCTGCCTTTAAAATCTTTACTAGATTAAATTCAGATTACATTTAAACTGCAGATACATACGTTTCCTTAAACTTGTGAAATGCTACAGGAACACAATTTAACAGCAGAATCAAGCTTCACTTGTTGTATTTTTTGTCCTTCATTTGCATTTGAAAGAAATAGAAACATATATTCAGAGATAAGCATCTAAAAATAGGATAAATTACATGTGTACTTAGTTACCTACTCTAGAAAAATAAAGGGGTAAGCACTTAGCTACTTGCTGTTAAAATCTGGCCTGTAACAACTCATGAGTGTGGTAAGACACTGGAAGCTGTTACTCATACCACGATGGACTCATTTTTCTTCTGTAAAGCAACTAGATGCTGGCTTTCTACCACTCTGTCTTTGGGCTTGGCACAACACCTTGTGATGACACAGCAGAAAGAATCTGTCAGCCTATATGCATAATGAATTAGGGACTGTTGCAGTGTAACATGTAACAGATGCTGGATGTTACCTGTTGACACACAGCAGCTGCCAAATTTCCTCCTGCGCTATCGCCAGAAATTGCAATTCGATTTGGGTCAGCTGAATACTCAGCTAAGACATCAGGCTGCAAAAAGTGCTTTGTAGCACGAAGAGCATCGTAGAATTGCTCTGGGAAGCATACCTCTGGTACCAGCCTGTACCTGCAAAGAGAAGAGAGAAGACAATTATTACCATCACCGTACCTCTCTTGCAGGATTAATACCTGATATCAGGTATTCCTTTGTGGCAAAGAATTTCATAAGGATAAATATTATGGGAAAAATATGAGGTGTGTAAGATTTACTCTTGTAATTAATGCTCTAATTTGGAAAGATTAATATGAACCTACTATATAAGAATAATACCAAGATAGTATAAAATTGTGCAGTACTTGCCTAAGATTTCCCAACAGAGGATTTCGTGATACGTTATAGAAGTGAATATTTCAAACATCCTTGGCAAGGGAATTGTTACAATCCCATTGGCTTTGATCCTTAACTAAACTAGTACGAGGGGGAATAAGTCATATACACCCAACAGAGTACACTGAGCCAAATACCTAAGCAGTTCTGTTTCCTAAATTTTTACCTATGGTCAGGAGAGAATGGACCTCTCTATACCTCTCTGCCAAGAAACTAATAGCCAAGAAGTGAATGCCAATTTGGTCCAATGCAGCAGATTCAGTAATTCCTCTGCTGGGGAGTGGAGCAGGAATACACCCATTGCACAAGCAGAGAGACTGAGGCACAGAGAGCAGTCTGCCCAGGAACCGCCAGGAGCCGAGTCCCAGGCGTGAGATTTTCTCACATTTCTAAATAACAGTGCTGGAGAAAACTGTTCATATTTACAGAATAATTTGTTATCAACAAGTTCTTCCCTGGCCTTATGGTACAAAGCACGTCTTCTGTTTGTAGCTGTTTAATCAACAGATTTTACATATTCCCAGTGATGAGATTTTTGCTGAGCAAAACAAGCAAAGCAAAATCCAGTTTTCTGATTCAAAACATTTTCTTCAGAATCTAAGATAAAGAAAGCTTCATATGCAGAATAAATTTTAAACATAAGTTACACAGAAAGTGTTTCAAACTCCAAATCTGACCTGCTTTCAAAAAGCAATCTATATATTGCATCAACTACAAAGGAATATGAGAGAGTCCTTTGGGAACTCCTTGCAAAACTGGATAACAGACTGTGCATGTATCATGAAAATGAGTGGTGCAATTAAGCCAATTAGAAATCTAATTAGTTGTCATTAATTGAGTACAAACGCCTTGACTGAAAGGTATAATGGCTAAGGAGAAGAGGTAAACAGTAGCTCAGAGAAACAGGCAGAATTATACCACCATAAATCAGGAAAGGAGTAATAAGGAACTTTTCAACACTGTGATCGCTGCTCACCTGGAATAACCAACAGCCACTTTTTTATTATTAATTGTTTCTACTAATAAACAACAAAGAAGTAAAAAAAAAGAAAAATATTGACCCTTTGAAGTACACTGTAAGTACTGAATAAGTAACATCAACTCCACATAATTAAGTTGCAGTTAGATTAGATCTTGCTATGTAATCTACTGGAGGTGGGAAACTTGAGCAGTTACATGAAGTGATTGAGTTTGCAAAAGAAAATATTGAAGTTGACAATAAGGGTGGGAAAGGTACCAATCAAGTTGGAGTCATCTAGGTAACGTAGTTAGCTAGTTGAGAGGTTTGTTTACCTCAGAATTGTGCAATAAGTTAAAAAGCAGCCCTGCTTCTCTGCTGTCTGGCACCCTGGCAATTCTCTGCTCTTGAGTGGAGCACAGGGCTTAAATGAGGTGACTGGAACAGTGGGAGATTGAGAAAGCAGCAGGAAACTGCCAGGCTCCACAGAGTATTCTGGTTAATGAGCAGGGGGAAAATTATTTGATTTTTTTATGTTGCAGACCCTTGCTCAATATGAAACTGTGGCTTATAGAGAGATTTGAAGGGGATTTAATATATATTTTAATATCATCTATATCAAAATTCTTTTAAATACAGATAAATTAAAAATACACCTTGCAGCAGTGGGAGTGGCCACTCAGGGTGCAAAAAGTCCCTCTTGCTACATGAGGAAGCAACAAGGATGTGGTTCAGCCTTCCTTCAGGTATATATCATGTCCAAATGTGCTTGGATTTTTTGTTTCTTTTTAAAGTTCACAAGTATTTACAGTATCATAACTTGGCACTTGGATGATCTCAGGCTCTAAGCTGCACTCCTTACATGTAGATACAATTGCAAATACACTAACATTTGCATCTTAGTATTCCTCCAGCTGAATTCAGTGCTACTTTCTTTTCCCACATTTGTGCTTTCTAAAATGAACTCTAAAATAATTAGAACCCTGAATGAGTTTTTGATACCATTCTAATTTGCTGTCATTTTGAAAGGATAAAAATACCAGACTGGTATAGAGAATTATTGTCCAAGTTAAAGCTTACGTGCAAGCCAGTAACAAGGGAAAAGTTGAAAGAACTGCGTTATATATTTCTAGTACCTTAGAAGTACTTGATCAGTTTTAGATTACTCACTCAACTGAGACAACTACAGCATTGAGAGATTCAGCCATGGTTCTGCAGAGATTGTTATAAAGGCTTGTTCCTGGAATGAAAGGACATGGTGTTAGGGACATATAAGTCCATTTGTGTCAATATTCCCAAAGCTGTATTCTCAGAAAATATAAAGACATGATACAAATATAAGCAAAATAAATGAGATCAGCCTGCAGTAGGTGGAAGCGCCAGATACACATTGTAGCAGAAGAAATATAATTCACACCTTGAGAAGTCTTGCAGTCTAATGCTTCTTTTCTCATCTGTTTCTGGGTGACTTGGGGCATGTCATTTCATCCACCTATCCCAATTCTCTTGGTCAAAATTTAAGGTACCCAGTGACTTGAGGCATTAGCTTCCAGAGACAGTTATTACTGTATGAGTCACTGCTTGTTACTCATTTTACTATAGCATGCATTGCTTTAATTCAAATCAGTTGCCCTATTAATGTCAACTGAACTACTTATTTAGGGGAGGATTAATCATAGCCATCTGATTTATCATTGGACTGATGTTCTTAAATTTTATTTCTTTCCAGTTACTTAATTGTTAGTTCCCGGTACTGTAAAATATATTAAGACACTAAGTGTTTTCTAAAGTATCTAGTCTTAGAATTTAATATTTAGCTGTAACGTTTGTGCCATTAACTTCTACATCTTGGATTCGAGGATAGCATCGACATAGCTGAGTTACAGTCGTCCAAACAAAGGGTGGTAATGTAATATTAACTTTTTACACAACAGGAGTCATATGCAAACTGCTACAGAACAAATGAGGTGGGCAAGATGATAACAATCATCCCTTAGGTGGGCCTAAGAAACTCCATCTGAAAGCACAATTTCTCTGTAAAAAGAGAAGGAAAATTTTTAACTGCTATAGGACTGCAGGACAAAGAAACTGGGATTTTCAAAGGAAAGATTTTGAAGTTATTTAGGAACCTGGTCTAAGTGACTTAGACATGCACAGTTCAAATGCAATTAATACAGTCTTTGTTTTGGAATATTTTGGAAAACCCCATTAGCGTTCATTTTCTACAGATGAAGCCACAGAATGTATCAGGGCTGTATGGACTTCCTGATGTCATGGTAGCAACTGGGAAGGAAAAGGGGGCCAGACCAAGGGACAGGAACCCACCTCTACCCATTTCCTTCATCACACTGCTTGTTGTCTGTGTTCAGCAACAGGTATCCCCAAGTACGTGGTACTTCAGAGCCAAACATTAGTGATGCTGTTACATGCAGTGTTGTTCAGCTCACTCTTTTATTAATTACCGTGTGAAAATGGGGCGGAACTTTTACACATAGTCACTGGATCCTGACTGCTGAGGATCGGCTCTTGCACATAGCCACAGAGAACGGGGAACTGGCCCAAACAGCCCATCCAGGCATCCCAGGAATCTCAACAATAAGCTATTTTGTCCTCTGAGGATGTAACAAAATTAACCTTTTGGTCCTTTCACGGCTCATGTGCAGATAAGATATGCATTTTTGCTATGTGTTCAAGGTATTTTCCCCCTCCCTCCTTGGAGCTGGTCTCCCAAAGTGGACACAGTTACTACTGAATGCATGTATGTAAACTGTCATCCCTGGCAGGAAAAACAGCTTTTGGTTTCTCCTGCCAGGAGAAAACCAGACCAGAATCTTATTTAATTCCTAGGAGACACATACTTGCACTTGCCAGGGCCCAGCCCCCTCCGTGGATGTAAACGACGCTGCGCTTGAGCCTTTCATCAGGCTTCGCAGGAGGTTCAAACACTCTGACTTCCACCCCGTCAAACACCGTGTCCGTGATCTTAATGTCTTCAGAGGAGACAGACTTCAGCTTGTCAAAGGTACAGATCAAATAATTCAGGACTATCAAGTGATGGCTGAGTCCCAGGCAGTGAATCAGGTGACACTAGGAAAATAAAGAAGAAAAAAGGAGATTTCTGTTACTTCAGAGTGTGTCATATGATACTGCACTGATGTTTAATGCAACCACCCTCAAAGGGCAGGTCCTATATGGTAATGAATATGGATACTTAGAATAGTCACTGGAAAAGGAATCATTATCAAAGACCTCTAATGCTTTTAGAGCTGTATTAAAACAAACCCCTGTCCATAAAAGATTCTCTGTTGTCAAAATAAACCAAGCCACGAGCACTATGTGGATCAAGACAACTGTGAATGAGTGCTCAGATCCTTGCCTTTGAAAGATACCTCTGAAAGGTGGCCCACTATGGGACTTGTGAAGCTCCTCAGACCAGTGCCAGTAGAGGGCAATAGCACTCAGGCGACGTTTTTGTGGTGGTGAGGTATCAAAAATGCCAAGTATTTCTCTTGTTCCACACCAGCGCCTACGTCTTTTCACTTGTGAATTAAGAAATCTCTCATGGATTGTGATAAAGTTTGAAAACAGGTTGGACATGATAATCCTAGAGATGCTTTCCAACCATAGTGATTCTCTGGTTCTATAATGATTGTTTATTGGCTTCTCCTGTATTTACATGCTGAATTGGGAAGAATCTGAAACACAACCCAGGACCTATGGCAGGTTAGTACGTTTCTTTCCAACCCCTGAGACTAAAGCATGAGTTTGTGTTTTTTTTTTTTTGCGGGGTGTGTGTGTAAAACTATGAAAATGACCCCTTGTGGTAGAAGGAGAGAGATGTTATCCCCTTTGGCTATCCAGGATTTTTATTTTCATATTTATTTTTTAAACTTTGCTCTGAATAGGTTAAAAACCTGTTTCTGTCAGCATGCAGTAGTGGGATCCAAGGCACTCTTCCAGCCTAAATGGTCATGACCTGCTTCCCGTGTATGACACTGCACAGCCCCACCTCCACTGCAGACTGCTGTAGAAAAAGGCCAAGTTTGATATTTTCCCTCATCCCCAAACCTATGCCAAATACAACGGTCTGCTATGTGAACAGGGAGAGGAATCCATTTCCAAACCAAGAGTTAAAAAAACTTATTTTCTTTTCTTGCTTTAGCTTGTGGTAATATCACCCTGCTGAGATAGTTTGGTGGGAATCCAAATTTTAAGATGTTTGCTTCTTTTTGGATGGAATATAGTTTCTTTTCATTCTGCAAGGCTTTTCTCTGGAGAAGAAACACAAAGCATCCACCCAGCCAGAAGAAATGCTGATTTCACAAGGCTGCTTGTATCCCAGAATTGGATATGAATATGAATTTCAGATCATGCTTTTCTGCCACTGTTACTTAAAAGCTCCCACAGGAATTTCTGAAGAGCCACACATCTATTAATAATCTGGCACATGATTTGTTGGGCTGCCACTGATGTAACCAGCTAAAGATCTGATCGTCTCTGTGCCCCATAGAGGTTCCTGGGAAGGTAACCACTGGGACGGTAACCACTGGGATGCAATGTTAAAAATACTGTCAGGGAAAACACGACTTTTAGAGTTTGGTTTGGTTGGTTTTTGTTTTTGTTTTCTTTCAGCCTGACTGTGCTGCTATAGGCATCCTGTTTTAGTTTTCTCCCACTTTAGTTCACATTCTTTGTAGATGAGATGACCCCAATGTTCCCTGGAATCAGAAATGGATTATTTTCAAGGCTAGTTAGAGTTGTTTACCAAGAAGTGTTTTGCCCTGTTCTTGAAACCACAGAGCACCGTGGCTGTCTGAAGACTATCACATGCTTTCAAGCCTTTTTTCCTGTAATAGAACACTCTT